CCCCCCCCCCCCCCCACGCAGAAGACTATGTGTAAGTAATTATCAGGATTTATAGATAATCTAATTCGTATCTTGTTTTGCTCTTTTCTCACAGGTATGCCGATCGCATTCAGAGCTTTACCAAACCAATCTTATTATTTCTTTTTGTTTCTACGGCCTGTGCTCAAACAGTCCTCTCACTAGCTTGTGAGGAAATCATACCTCTGACAAAAACCGTCTTCTACGCCTCGGGCATCGCCCAAGTTGTCCTGTTCTGCGGTACTGTACCTCTTATTATGGAACTCGCAGCTGAATGCACATATCCTGTTGCAGAGGGGATCACCTCCGGCGTGATGGTCTTATCTGTGTACGCCATAAACTTTGTGTTCTTCGTCGCGTTCATGTTTCCGCAGGCTAGCCCGCGCTGGATGAACTGGTTACTAGTCTCCTCTACCGTGGTCTGTACTCCCCTTATAGCTCTTTACACGGCGAAGTACAAGAGACTGGATGTGGACGAATCAAAACAGAGTTGACCAATGACAACGTACAATAGTGTTGTGCGAGATGAAGATCAGTGATAGATCCCTAGAAAATTCTCTAGTTAACTACCATTACAGTTTGCAAGAAAAGTAAACGAAATAATCCTACGGCATTCGATTGTGAACAAGAAGGATTTTTATCGATAGATTTAACTACCTTGCGCATTTAGAAAACGTTACTACCATAACGTAGTTGATAGAAAATTACCTTTCCATAGCGTTTATTTCAGTAGCCAAGCCTGAAGATTTCATTAACAGACTAATAAACAGTATTACTTACTAACACTGTCTTACTTGCTCTGATAATAAATCTTTTTATTATATAGACACGAGTGTTTTACTAGAAAATATACCACTCGTAAAATTCATAAAAACTACATCCGGGACCCGAGTGGTTTATTTTCCATAATCTCACACGTGAGTTTATCGATAACGTAATTTCGGTAATTTTCCTTCGAAATTTGTAGACGTCTTGCGTCTTTTGAATTTGACTGAAACATTTTTCAAAGTTTTGCTTATATTTTGTCATTGTAGAGCCCTATTCAGCTCAGGGTTATTTCTCAAGATTATTGTAACCAATGTCTTATACAAAATGTATTGCTGTACTGTAAATCTGAGCCGTCACAATTACTTTTGGGCGAATTAAAATCTATTATTTTATCGATGTCTAATAAAAAGAACATTACACGGCGGCTTGAAGATATGAATTTTATTTTCTCGTGGCAACAACAATATTTTACTCACTCGCTGCGCTCGTTCGCAAAATATTGTTTCGCCACTCGAAAATAAAATTCATATCTTCGCGCCACCGTGTAATATCCTCTATTTATCTTCACTCGAGAACTTACCAAGGGCCAACATTGCGGATTTTAAAACTGGTAGAAAAGACTAACAATGATATGAGGATATTGTTACAAGGTATAGGATGCAAAGATTACTTACTCCCTCGGAATGAATTCAGTGGCTATTTTCCGTTCATTGATATTTTGATTCACAACTCGCAGAAAACCAACTTGTTCACTCCATCATTATGAGTACTTAGCAAGTTTATCGCTGATATCAAACCCCGCAAAGAACCAACTTGCGTACTTTATCATTATAAGTACTTAGCAAGTTAATCGCTGATATCAAAACTTTCAAAGAACCACCTTGCGCACTCTAAATTAAAACAAGCACAGAAAAAAACTATCGCGCTCGAAATGAAGAAAACAAGACACTTACAGAATCAACTTACGCATCTGAAGTTTAATATAAGAAAACTTGCAAACAAATCGCTGATATTAAAACGCGCATAGAAAACTAGTTATACGCACTGTTATAACAAAATATATCAATTTAATTGCTGACCTAATCCCGCCTACGGCATAGACAAATTTTTGCCTCAAGCCGGAATGAATGGATTCCAGGCCTTGGATTCCGGATCCTTGTCAGTGGAACTTGACTTCGGATTCTAATCGTTATTGAGATTCCGGATTCCTTTAGCTGTATTCTGGATTCCAAAGCCGAGGAATCCGGATTAAACAAGCAAAAATTCCCGAATTCGGGATGTCACAAGCGAATATCTCCCGGATTCCGAATTTCACGAGCAAAAATTTCCTGGATTCTGGAAATCGGATTTCCTTACACGGAGCGACCTTTTGCTTGGCGCGGAATGACCTGGACGCGAGAGCAGGTGTCCCAGTATGTTAATTAGACTGCTGCTGATTTTCTATTCAATAGAAACTGATATCAATATTCAAAACATTGTTTCCTTTACACTCTCCTATCAATCACAAATCTCAGATATATATAACAGAGTATAATATTCCTTATCTTCTGCGGGGCATGTTAAACTTCGTCGCGTGATATTACCCTCTGTAATAGAGGCGTTTGGCCGGCTGAGGGTAAGAGCGTTTATCCCATCCGTTCAAAAATTGACAGTAGAAAAAAACCTTGAAATTTAGATTTTCAACCATATCAACAGAAGCAAAGAAACATAAAAACTGCTCGAATATCTTCAACGGTATGTATGGTTAGATTATTACTTTCTAAACGGAAAGCTGTTTCCTTGAGGAAATTATGAAGGAAAGGATTACATGTATAAAACAGAGGAATTTAAGGGTTATGAGCTTTTTCTTTTATGTGCGCTTTGTCGAAAACACGATTCCTGATTTGAATTAATTTGTTACTGTGTAATTTGGTCCACGCTGTGTTTATTGTATGTTCTTGTTGTAAACTGCAAGAGACGTAAAACGTCGAATTAACTGAATTTCTTCCTTATCTGAAGAGAGTGCAACGACTCGTAGGGTTACGTGCGACGGGTTTCGGTTTAAAATATAGCGGATATTTAATAAGAATTCGACATTTAAAAATAATTCTTCGAGTTTAGCCAGAGAAACATCTTGCTCCAATGGCAAAATATCGTTCCGCGAATCAAATAGGTTAAAAATCTGCAATTTTAGTGGGTGATACATGTATTGGAGTGAGCAGAAAAACATACTGACATATTTAAGAAACCTTGGTATCGATCATCTCAATAGTACTGTTAAAAGCCGGTTCTCTTGAGTATTTCTTTCTTTTGTGTCTTTACAGTAGTTATGAATATGAAGCTTTATAAAATATTAGTGAAACGCTAATCAGTGTACTGTTTTCGCCAACATTCAAAAAACAAAGAAAACAAAAATCACAGGAGCGGATGTCAGGCTAGTATCAATTATGCCGCAATTATGGCTCGTGTAGTGATTGAAGTACGTATTGTATTACCCTTCTGTTAGCAGTCACTTAGCAGTCCCATGAACCATCGGTTACACTCGTTTACGCTTTTTAAACAAAGACGTGGTTCGCAATATCGAGCTGAAGATATGAAGAAGGTTTTTTTTTTCACCGACATCCAAGGAACCATGATTATCATCAAGCCGCAGTTTTCTTTTTAAAGCAAGTGTTTTCTTGTCGAGAATAACTGGAGTTAAGGGTGCGTTAAAAGATTTAGGTCATTTAGGAGGACTCTGACGAGTTATTTTCAATTTAAAGATTGAATAATCCTTTACAAGAAATAAAACTTTCGTTTTCTCGGTCCATCTGAGCTTTTAAATATTCCTTTCATTATTTGCGAATGATGTGACCTTTGTGAAACTTTGCCTTACAGAGTTGATGACCATGTTGTTGAAGTTATGTTCTTTTTTCTCTCGCAGGTTCACAGTTTTCACTCTTCACTCGTTTTCTTCGACGGTTCTGAGAGTTCCCCTCAGTCAAATTTATATTCTTATACTTGACATAAGCAACAATTTTGCTGAGATGGCCTGGAACTCGCCAAAACGGGCCAACTTTAGTTCTGAGCGCAATGGACGTAAGGCTCAAATCATGAACCATGTTTGGTCTGGACCCAGGGAAATTCCATCTCCTTCATTTGTTAAGAGCGACACAACTAACTTAGGTAATATTTTCCATCGCTGTTGTTATAGAAATAAATTCGCTTAGCTTATTGACAATGACCTTATACGTTTCCATGGCTATCGTGTCGAAAACTCCATAACATGTATTCAACTTTACTTTGATAGAATCTGTTCTTTAATGTCCTCTTTGTAAACAGCAAATCCAAAGGTCGCAAAGCAACCAGTCGGTTAAGCTTTCCCACGATTTCCTATGACTGCAATCAGGTGGGCTCCTGCTGCAATTTTATAGTTTTGATTGGCGTGGGTTGGGCGGGGAGGGGGAGGGCAGATAAGAGGAGAAAAAAACGAAAGCCCTGGGTAAAGGGCGGGGGAGGGCAGATACGAGGAGAAAAAAAGAAAAGCCATGGTTAAAGGGCGGGGAGAGGGAACCTTCATTTTCTCTTTCCAGTCCCCCTTTTTGTCCTTCCTTCTACACGTCTTTCAACTCAGACTACCGTGTTTTTTGACTGTAAATATAATCTTTTTTGTTATTTTAAAATCTGCAGTCACACCTGAAGAGTCAAAAAACTGCTTGAACGAAAACTCGAGAGGTCTCCTTAGAATATCAGCTACTGGGTTTGCACATTGTCGCCGTGGCATAACTAACCTTGGTTTCACTAACGAAGAGTGTGAATTCATAGCTTCGCGGCAGCGAGCTACGAACTATCTCTTCTACCTGTACAACGATAGAGGACAACCTGTGTCGAGAGATGAGACGAGAAAAAGTACAAGATATTCAAAATCAAGTCCGGAAAGCTCATGGCGTGTCAAAAGTGCTCCTGTAGAGACAGTTACAAAGGTTTTGATTGGCGATAAGCGCGTCTGTTCTTCAGCACTGACCAGAGAAAAGGCGAGAGTACGAAAAAAAGCTTCATTTCGCAGTGCAAGCTTTGCACAGCGGCTGAATCAGACAACCATGGATGAGTCTCTAGGTACAATAATTGTTCGAAGCTTGAATCAACATTTGTCGCCATCAGAGCGTTTGGAACGTTACCTGCTAAGTTTACAAAGGGAAGGCTATCTAACAAGTGCACGGAAAGATCGGCGGAAAAACTTTGACACGCAATTAGGCATTGAACTGACACACAAAGGAGTTATAAGTTTGAGATCAAAGTTCCTACCTCACCCTCCTGTGTACTTGTTTCAAAAGGGACAATGAAACATTTGCTAATAAAAAGCTCACTTTCGGGTAAACCAGCGACCCTGGAGATTTTTATATTACAGTTCAGTGAAACCTGTATTAAGCGGACACCCTCTATTAAGCGTACAGTAGCCGAAGGCCCAAAAGTTATTTCCCTTATTTACTTTAAATGAAACCTTTATTAAGCGGACGCGGACTCCTAAAAAGTACCTAGAATAGTCATTTCTATTGTTACCAACCTGTATTAAACGGATACTTGCAACATGCCAGACACCGGAAATGCGAAAGATTGCCTCGAATTTCCACCCACAACTTTTTCGATTTTTACATTAAAAAAACGTGACTTGACGAACTTATTTGATTGGTTTCACTCCCCGGGGGGGCGGGGGGGGGGTATGTGCCGCTGTGAGGGGTATGGTTTTCAGACAGTTTACTCTAGGATAGGGTATATAAATCAGAGTGTTTGGGTCTAGAATAGGGTATCATTTTTCCGGAAAATGATCAGTTGGTTGAAGATTTTATCTAGACAAGGGAAACAGCTACTCTAGGATAGGGGGGATTTGGGGAGTTTACTCTAGTATAGGGTAGCAAAATTCAGCTGAACTAGCTCTGGTATAGGTTAAGGGTTCCAGGGTCCCAGCGGCACATCCCCACCCAGAAATTCCTAAAGCACCCCCCCGGGGTTTCACTGTACAGTATTATTTTCTATTTCGTTTTGTTTGTATAGAGCTTGTTTCACTCATCTGATTTCTTCAAATTTGAGTTGCAATCTATGTTTATGATCAATTGGTCCACTTTGAAAAAGAAATTAATGCAAACGTATATCGTCAAAGTCTGGGGTATTCTTGACGTTTCCACTGTTCATTTGAATGGCACTTGACACCTCATATGACGTTATCTATCGAAATCTGTATTAGGCGGACACCCTGTATTAAGCGGACACTACAGCATTCCCCGAGGGTGTCCGCTTAATACAGGTTTCACTGTATTCAAATTAACGCCCCTTTCTGTTCTTGGAAGTCCCGCATCCATGGCCTAATGACTCCCCATAAAAGGCCAGTTTTCAAAAGCAACGGACTTGACCAAAAAAAACTGACTTTATCACAATAACAAATACAGTAACACAATTACTGGTAAAATCAGTAGAGTCAACCGGTTTTACTGTACGGACAATAGAGAGGTTAGGGACGGACCATTAGAAACGTTATGGGGGGGGGGGGGGGGGGGG